CACCTTAGTCCTCAACTTTTCTTGAAAGTACTCATTAACAGGAATATGCAGCAGATATGCCTAATGCAATACTTAGTTTGATTTCTTGAGTGACTGCTTCCTTGCACACTGATAGTGGATGCAAACAAATTGAAGTCTTTGACAATTTCAATCTTATCTCCATTTATCATTGATACCTTTGTAAAGATTGTCGTTTTCTCTACAGTGATGTAAAGAAATCCATATTAAAGAATGTGGTCTTTGATCTTCATCCGTATTTCAAATCCTCTTTGTTTTCACAAGGTTGTGTCATCTGCATGTTGCAAGTTTCCTGGAAGTTGTCCACCAATCCTGATGCCATGTTCTTCTTCCATATGCTGCACCTCATCCAGCTGTCTGGATTATTTGCTCGGTACACAACTTGAATAAGTCTGGTGAAAGGATACAACCCTGACACACACCTCCTGCTTTTAAATCATTTACCATCTTCATGTTCTATTCTAATGACCGCCTCTTGGTCCAGGTTCCTCATGCGTACAGTTAGTATTTGGGATACCCATTCTTTGTAATGTTATTTATATTTTGTCATGATCCACTTAGTAAATTGCTTTTTCATAGTCAATAAAGTACAAGTCAACTTCTTTCAGGGTATTTTCTGCTTTCAGCCAGGATCCATCTGATGCCAGAATGATAGTCCTTGTTCCAACTCTTCTTTTTGAATATGACTTGGATTTCTGGCAGCTCCCTGTCGATGTACTGCTACAACCGTTTTTGAATTACCTTTTTGAAATACCACTTGCATGTGATATTAATGATAGTGTTTGATGGTTTCTGCATTCCGTTGGCTCACCTTTCTTTGGAATGGGCACACATAAGCATCTCTTCCAATCAGTTGGGCAGGTAGCACCTTCCCAATTTCTTCACATAGACCAATGAGTACCTCCAGCACTGCATCAGTTTGCTGGAACATGTCCATTTCTAGTCTGTTCCGGAGCCTTGTTTTTCTCTAGTGCCTTCAGTACTGCTTGGCCTTCTTCCTTCAGTATCATCGGTGCTTGATCATATGTTATGTCTTAAAGTGACTCAACGTTGACCAATTTTTTTTTGAACAGTGACGCGCTCTGTGTTCCTTCCAGTGTGTCCTTTGATGTTTCCCGTGCCAGTCAGTAGTTTGCCCACAGTGTCCTTCAATATTGCAGCTGGAAGCTTGAATGTTTAATTCAGTTCTTTCAGCTTAAGAAATGCTGAGTGTATTCTTCCGTCTTAGTTCTATAGGTCTTTAAACATTTCATTATATTTAACTTTGTCTTCTCGAGCTGCCCTTTGGAATTTTCTGTTCAGCTCTTTTACTCCATCATTTCTGCCAGTTGTTTTAGCTTTTCTACGTGCAAGAGCAAGTCCCACAGTCTCTTCTGACATCCGTTTTGGTCCTTTCTTTTTTCCCCCTGATCGTTCTAATGACCTGTTGCTTTCTTCATGATGTTGTTTTTTGTTTTCATTATTATTATTACAGTTTTTTATCGAGTGAAGGTTTACAGAAAAGATCATCAGTTTTACATTCAACAAATTTTCTACTTTGTTTCATCTCAATGACAACAGTGATCTCGCTTTTTCCCTGTGGTTCCCACCTCCATTCCATCCACCTTCTCATCCCTTCTCACCCTTGTCCTTAGGTACACGTTACTCTTTCGACTTTGCATAACTGATCGCTTCTCATTGATAGTGAGCATACATTTCTAGTGTTGTTGTCCACCCCACATATGCTACAAGGTTGAGTTCCATTCCACACCTGAAGGACGGTTGATGGCCCTAGTCTCAGGCTCTTCCCAGTCTCTTTCTGATCTATAAGCCTGGTGTTTTTTTGGGTTTTTTTAAATGAGTTTTGGTCCACATTTTCTGCCCCTCTATCCATCATGTGGCCAAGTGGCAGCATCAATGGACTGAAGTGTGGCAACAGCAGGTGAGGTTCCTGAATTGGGCCGTGTTCCATTCAACTCTGCATAAGGTCGCTGTGAGTTGGCAATGACTCAGTGGAACCTAACAAAAACAACATCCATAATGTGATCCCTTTCGGAGCAGTTGGTAGTGTTAGCTGGACAACAGCTAGTTCTTCAGGCCTCAGAGTCATGGAGACTGATGGTCACATGTCCCATTAGTTCGTTGGACTCATTGATCCCAAGCATCTCAATTCTCATCACTCTTCTTTCTTCTGCACATGGAGAGACCAGTACCTGCCCCTTAGATGACCACTGATGACTTTTCATTTCCCAGATGCTCCTCACCAAAGCAGAATGTAGAACATTACCTTTGTGGACTCTGTTATTCCAGGTGACCATGGTTCCCCCAGGCCCAGCTGCTCATTGCTTTAAGATGTTTGGTAATATCTAAGAAGTTTTCACATGATGACGTTCCTGATGTCATCTCACAACTTTTCTGGTCTTTGGTCATTAGTATCTAATCCATCATATCTTTTCTTGAGATGGTCTCTAAATTCAGGTGGGGTACACTCAAGTCATATTTCGGCTCTTGTGGAGTTGTTTTAATTGTCTTCAACTTCAGCCTGCACTTGCATATGAGTAATTGATGGTCTGTTCCACTGTCTGTCCCTGGCCTTGTTTTGACTGATGATATTGAACTTCTCCATCATCTCTTCCCATAGATGTAGTCAGTTTGATTTCTGTGTATGCCACAGAAGTGAGGTGAGGTCCAGGAATATAGTCAAAGGTATTTACAGTGAATAAGTCACTGGTCTTGTAAAATTCTATCATGCGATCTCCAGCATCTTTTCTATTACCAAAGCCATATTTTCCAACTATGGATTCTTCCTTTTTGTTTCCAGTTTTTGCAATCCAGTCATCAGTAATTATCAGTGCATCTTGATTGCATGTTTGATCAATTTTAGAGTGAAGAGAGAGAGAGAAATAAAAGAGAGTCCTTGCTTAAACAGGGGAGAGTTATCACACAAAACTGGCTACTACCAGTACATTTGTGTCTAGAAAACAGAAGAAAATAAATCAATAGTTCAAAACCTTAGAGACGTTTTGGGTAATTTCTATCAGGTCATTTTAAATTTGTTTGCAGAAGCACATGTACCTTTCATTTTGTATTGTGAAGGAGCTCTGGTTGTATTGTTGGATAAGCACTGGACAGATAACCGCAAGGTCAGCAGTTCAAATCTATCAGCTGCTCTGCAGGAGAAAGATGAGCCTTTCTGTTCCCATAAAGATTTACAGCTTCGGAAACTCTGTACAGGATCGCCGTGAGTCGGAACCGACTTGTTACTGCTGTATGGTAAGCTCTGGACTGCTAGCCACAAGGTCAGCAGTTTGAGTCCCATCAGCTGCTCCACAGGAGAACGATAAGGCTTTCTGCTCCAGTGAAGATTTACAGCCTTGGAAACCCTGTGCGTGGTCGCTGTGAGTCAGAACAGACTCCACGGTGACGGGTTTTGTTTTGTTTTGGATGTACATTGTCGGGCCTTGGTGACTCAGTGACTAAGTGCTGAACTGCTACCCAAAAGGTAGGCAGTTCAAATGCACCAGTCGCTCTGTGAGAGAAAGATGCGGCAGTCAGCTTCTGTCAAGATTGTAGCTATGGAAACCCTGTGGGATACTTTTACCGTTTATAAGGTCGCTATGAGTCACAATCAGCTCCACAATAGTAATGGGCTTAGCATGTGACTTGTACAATGTACAGTTTTTATATGCCTTCCGTTTAGCATTATATTGTGAACATTTTCCATTGTCAGTAACATTTTCTCACTTTTTAATATTGCGTAGGATAATCATTTCCCTGTAGATGTTTGTTGTTGTTGTTATGTGCCGTGGAGTTGATTCCGACTCCTAGAGACCCTGTATGGGGTTTCCGAGCCTGTAAACATGGAACAGCTGGTAGTTTCAAACTGCCGACCTTGAGATTAGCAGCCCGATACGTAACCAGTACGCCACCAGATGTTTACATTTCCTGTAATTTTCTGGCTATTACAGCTTGCCAAGAACCCTGGTGTGGGTGGCAGTGTAGGGTAAGCACAGGACCACCAGGTCAGTTTGAACCACAAGGTTGGTGGTTCAAGCTCACCAGCCATTCCTCGGAAACCCTATATCCGGTCCCTGTGAGTCAGAACGAACTTGATGACACTTGACAACAGCAGCAGCGGATTGCCACAGTGAGTGTGTGTGTGGGCGCCTTTGTGTGGTGATGTGAGTTACTGCTGTGCTGGGCATCTGCTCTGTGGTTGTGGTTCATCCTTGGAGGGACCTTGTACTAGCACTGTCCCTAGTTTATGAGATGGGGACACCATCGGAGATGCCAGGTACTTAGCTTGTCCTGCAGTAAGTAAGGGCAGAGATGCACAGCAAGCCCCCAGTGGTGCCTGGCTCTCCACCTTTTCTCTATCCTTCCCCATCTCCGTCTCCCCCCCCCAAAAAAGAAAAAAACCTGGCTGCACCCGCTTTGCTCCTTAAAAAGACCGACAGAGGTGAGAAATGATGGAGTCCAACAGTGTGGCCAAGGTGCTTGTCCTGGACCTAATCTTAAGCTATAATAAGTGCTTGTCCTCCCTGACTTTTGCCAATCCTTAGTTTTACCTATTGAAATAAATTTGCTGACTTAATAAGTTAAAAGTGGTATTTCTATTTATCTTAAGGTCTAAATTTTAAAGACTATAACATCTTCACTGATCTTCTATATACTGATTATCCACTGAGTTATTTATCCTCTAAGTGTAACAACTGGATTCCTCTGCTACCCAGGATGTCTTAACTGAAGCTGTGCTGGGCTCCGGGCGGACGGTATTTGCTGATTGATCGTTGGCTTTACAAGCCAACCTAGGGGTTCTCAGAAGTTGCTTTTTGGAAGAAAAATTTATTTGCATTTTAAAGGCACTGAATATGGTGACCTTTTTTTCTTTTTAAGAGTGTATTTTATGCCTGCCGCTTGGCCAGGATGACTTATAAACAACCATTAGTAGGTTGTAGCTCTTTTAGGTATTATATCTATAAACCAGTATTTATTTTTTGCAGGCCGGTCTAATTGAAGCCAATGGAGAACTAAAGGTCTTTATAGACCAGAATCTTAGCCCTGGAAAAGGTAAGGAAATCTATTTTGAAACTATTAAAAGTCTACTAAAAATTTTATTTAAGTTTTCTGTATTTGTGAATTCCTTTAATACTAAAGCTCCTACGGACTCGTGAAGCTTCCGATTTAGAAATGTCCCTCCTCAGAATCTAGCATAGGGAACTTCTTATTTCATAGCATTTGAATTCTGAGATTAAAGATATGGACAAACATGCTCATATGAAGGGGCTTTGAAAAATTTGTTAAATGGTGTGGAAAGATTTTGAATTTTTTCCACAGACTTTTTTTAAAGCACCTGTTGTATGTGTATATTCAGTGCCTTTCTTTGATTTATAAGTAACATAGACTATTTGTAGACTTCCAGAGCATTGTTATTGTTGTTAAAGCGCTGTTGAGTCATTTCAGACTCATAGCGACCCTGTGTTGAGTTTCCAAGGATGGCTGGTGAGTCTGAACTGCTGACCTTGTGGTTCAGAGCACCCTTGCAGTCCAGTACATTATCCCACCGTGCCACAATTAGGAGAGAAGCAAACATTCCTTCTACCCAAAGATAGCAAGCACTTCACAAAATTGGTGGTTTCCTCCAGCATTTTCCCACACAGACAATCACACTGTGAAACAAGAGTTGAAGTTGACGTTAGAATCATGTTACACACCTCATGTGTGAACTGGACCTCTTTCCAGGTCAATAAATATAAAGTCTTGATATTTTATGCTTTTTTTTTGTCATGTCAGGGCGAGGGTTTGTATGCCCCATCGCCAGACAGAGAGAGTCGAGATGTGGAGATGAAAGCCACATCTTTGTAATGATTGCTCTGTGTTCCACTGGCTGACAATAGCACAATTTATTGAACTGATCTCATAGTATTGTATAGTTTTCAGTCCTCACAAAAGTGGCAAGCTGAGCATCCCTGGAATGTGTATGTTTCAGTTCATGTCTGGTTAATTTCCCTATAGTAAATTCTTAGGTGCACAATTGCTGGGTTAAAAGCGATGCATATTTAAAATGATGTGAGACCACATCGATTGTGGGGTTTTAGTAGCTTAACTGGTATCATCTCAGCGCAGTTTGGTCTAGTATTTTTTTAAGAAAAGCTTTAGAAAAAGCCTGTTTTGTCTTCCTAAGAATTTTGCTTGCAGAGGATGAGATGAGGTTCCTGTGAGTATGATCTCAGCCATAATGCACACTGGTATATATATCGGCTAAACTAGGAGCTGCTTTAAAGTTAACCTCAATGGCAGTGTTATGCTGCTGCTGTTGGTGGTGATGCACCGTGGAGTCGGTTCCGACTCATAGCGACCCTTTATAGGGTTTCCGAACCTGGAAATCTTTACGGGAGCGGAAAGTCCCATCTTTCTCCCAGGGAGTGGCTGGTAGTTTCGAACTGCTGACCTTGAGCTTAGCATCCCAGCTCATAATCACTATGCTGCCAGAGCTAGTTCTGTTTAAAGACTATTTGTTTAAATTTTTCTAAATATTTTCCACATCTTTGAAGTTAACCCTCTCTCCCTTTATAATGAGCACCATATTAAGTGACCTGTTGATGCTTGGGATGACTTTGGAAACAGTTGAAGTTGGTCCATTGCTTGGCCTTTATCCCTGTGCATCAGCCCCATCCCTCACAGCTACTCATTCCCGCCAGAGGGCCAAACCTCCTCACTCTTTCCCCCACCCCACATTCCACTGGCTTTAGAACCACCTCCCAGCACTTCCATCTTCTCCTATGGAGTCGTTCTTCTTCATCTGTTTGCTGCTTGGGTCTCTTACCCAATCTGCCAGGTGGGCAACGAGACTGTGGGCAGCTAGACTTGCAGTTCCCAGCTGTGTCTGAGCTGAAAGGCTTACTGCCCCTCCCCCTTTCTTTGTTGCCCATAGTGAAATCACCTTCAGGATTTAGGTAAAGGGTCTTTTGCCTGGGAAGCATTACACACACAGGAAGGGATGTGCAGGCGTGACTGCAGCTTGCCTGACCCCTGGGCTGGATGCCCGTGTCCAGGGCACAGCTGCACAATCGTGTGCCCTTTCCACCGGTAGCACGGAACATTCTCTTCTGTGTGCCTGCTTGCACAATCCCTCCTTCTTGCCTCCCCCACAGCACCTGTCTCGCTGGTCACTTTCCCCTCTTGGACCAGGAGTTCCACATCGGCTGGGGACCCACTCTTTCCCATCTTGTGACTCTTTGTGATACCTCATGGGCGTGGAGTCAGTGTTAACTGTGTTCTGGAGAAACTCCGATTCCCACGTGGAGGTTGGAAACATAGGGGTTTTTTTTCCCCCTCAGCAGATGTACTACCTTCCTCTTCTAGTTCTCTAAAGATGTAACTAAAACTTACAGCGCCCATTTCGGGGATTAATATTTATAAATCTTTTTTCCCTTGATCCATGTATAGCATTCACACACTGCTTGACTGAAATGTTTGTTTCAGTGTAACTAACCAAACATTTAAAAATTTTCAGAAATTTTGAGTAAGACATTTTCTGTTGATAGGATAATGTAGAAATAAGAATTAAAAAAAAAAATCTATGAACGTTCTTCCTTGGAAATTATGATGCCTTTCATAGGGTGTTTATTTTGTATTTCTCTGTTGTTGTTAAGTGCCGTCAAGTCCGTCCTGATTCATAGTGACCCTGCATAGCTTCTGAACCTTGTGGTTCAAACTGACCTTGAGGTGTCCAGCACTTCAGCAGGACTCTGCTGTTTTTGGATATGCCCAAATAAGCTTACCTGAGAAGGTGGTTATTACCTTCTTTCCCATTCTTAGTAACAAAAGCTGTGCTTAAATTTGATTCATACAGTATTTAATTCTGAGCCATAGGGTTGAATTGGAAGGATTAAAAAATTATAGTTTCCTCACCGCTTTCAAATATCCTGGTGTTAATTCATTGAATAAGATGGTTATCCACTTTTATTGGGAAATGCCAGAATTTCTCACCATTTATTTAGAATATTTTGTCTTTTTTGTGGGTACACTGAACCATTTAGGAATATACAATCATTTACTCTACAAGCCTGCCCCCAAGTCATCAGCACACAGCCTCTCTCCATCTCTGTGTCTAGAGTCCCCAGCTGCTCCATCTCTCCATGTCATCATCTCTGCCTCCATCTCTGGCATCACTGCTTCTCTGGGTAGGGTCCCACTCTCCGCTCTTCTCCATTGATGGTCCCAGGGTCCTCCGCATCTGGACTGCAAAATCAACCATTCCCCTCCTTTTGCTACAAAACATCTACCTGTACATTTCCAACACTCACAGTCAGTACTGATAGCAATTATTCTCTATTGAATCACAAGAGTCCTATCCCCATTCCAGAGAATTTTATAAGCAAGCAGATCTTACTTGTTGATTGCTTGAACACACTCGGTGGGGACTCAGACTTCTCAAAGAGAGGGTTCCGCTGCAAGGGACTCCAGACTTGGGAAGGAGACAGGTGGGAAGAGGTGTTGACCACGGATCACAGTTGGTGCTATGAGGATATTAGCACAGACGAAGTCCAACTTACACAGAAGCTGGGAGATCGGGCTCAGGGGGACGGTTCCCTCGAGGATGGGCCCTGAGCTCTTGGAGGAAATTAGGCGTTTGGGCCAGAAAAGTACTGTCTACCGCCAGTAGGTAGACCATTGTTGTTGTTAGGTGCCATTGAATTTGCTCCAACTCATAATTACCCTGTAGGGTCTCTGAGCCTTTGACTCTTGGCAGGAGCAGAAAGCTTCATCTCTCTCAGGCAGAGCTGCTCATGGGCTCCAGCCAACCACCTTGTGGTTTGTAGTCCAGTGCTTATCTTACAGAGCCACAGCATTCCCAAGCCATCGAGTCGATTCCGACAACCCTGGAGAACATGATAGTACTGCTCCTTGGGTTTCTGAGACATGAAGTCTCCACAGGAGCACATGGTCTTACCTTTATCTTGTAGAGCTGCTGGCAGGTTTGAACCTCCGACTTTTTGGTTAGGTATCTAATGTCTAACCTCTCACACCACCAGGACTCCTTCATAATCTCCACAGGGAACCCCAAAATAGTCAGTATGACCAAGGCATAGGATGGGAGATAGTCAGAGACAAAGGTAATGAGGGGTAGATGTGGTGAGGTGTCAGAGATGGTGTAGATATTGATGTAATTATTTGGCGTGTCCTCCTTGAGCACTGTTGAGGGCAGGGGCCCTGTCTGGTGGTGGGATTGTCTGCTGTTTGTGTGGAAATACTAGTTGGTCCAAAGACAGACGTGGGCCTTTGTTGTTCTGGTTGCTATGAGCCTGAATCAACTCCTGGCAGTGGGCTTGCTTGGGTTTTATTTTTTTTGGGGGGCTAACCTAAGGAATTTAGAATTGCTTCCAAAAGCAGTGGACGCTGCAGAAGGAGTTTAAATAAGGGAGTGACATTTAATTTCTTCTACCTGCGGATCCAGAATAGGAACTCCCTTCTTGTCTTTTCTGCTTCTGGCTTCCCAGAGGCACAGTTTTTCAGCAAGTTATAGACAGACCTGCAGTTTATTTTTAACTGAAAAGATGAGTAGTTGAAAATCACCATCATCATCATCTCGGGAAACACATCTGAGAATTCTTTCATCTGTTTGGCTGGATAATCTGTATAGTCCTGAGATAATATGAATTCTCTCTCTCTCTCTTTGAGTTTGGATTTCTCTGTGTTAATTGTTACTGTGATTTCCTTTTCTGTAATTACAGTTAAGTGTTGAGCTTAGAGTCAGAAAACTTGGGTGGAGTCCCAGCTCTACCTTAGCTGGGTGACATCATGAAACGACTGAGCTTCACTTCCCTCAGAACTTCCTTGCTTCCCTCCTAGGGTGGTTGTGTAAAGCAAATGATGTAGTGTCTTTAGAAGCGTTTGTAAATTCACAGGTGCTGAATGTAAAGTCATATTAATTTTGAGCTTTATGTTTGGTGAGAGTCAGGTGATGTTTACCTCCATGGGTCAAAACCTCAAATTTACTTTGTGTTCTCTATTGCCAAAGGTGTTGTTTCCAGATTGTATTCTAATTATTTTCTTCTAAATTCTTG